TGTTTTTTATTATATATGTGTAAATATTGGTTATTTGGTTTCCTGGGCTGCTCTAACATAAGACAACTCAAAGGGCAGGGTGTGCATGTGGATATGAGTGTGCAGGGCAGTATTGTCTGCAACAAGAAGGGATGACTACGAGATCAGTTATTAGTACCATCCAGATCCATGAGACTCAAAGGAATGCAGGAACATAGGAGGCCAAAATCACCTGCTGTATGGTGTACACTACGTAGTTAGATGTCCTCCAAGCTCCTGAGGACATCTTAGTATCACAGCTTTTGTGTTTTATCAAGATACCTCTGGGTCATCTCCTAATAGAATAGAATAGGCTCAGCTTCATAGTCTGCCTTCCATATGGATGGGTTCTATATCCATAGATAAAAAATATTTGAAAAAATAAAATGAAAAAGAATACAACAATAAAATAACACAAATAAAAATGCAGTATTACAAAGATTTACATAGCACTTGTACTGTATTAGGTATTATGAGTAATCTAGAGATCATTTAAAGTGTACAGGAGGATATGCGTAGGTTATATGCAAATACTGTGCTATTTTATAGAAAGGACTTGAGCATCCATGGATTTGGGTATCTTTGGGAGATCCTGGAACCAACCCCCTGTGAATACCAAGAGACAACTGTTCTGTGTTTTATCACTTTAAGGCAGAAAAGTTGGTGATATTTCAGGAAAAAAAAATATCAATAAAAGTAGTTAAAAATGTTTCTATTTCAAGATGAAAACCTCAGTTAACTAGAATATCCAATCACCAACCCCTTCCTGCCTCCTTTCCTATCCTTTCAACCTGTCAGATAAACAAAGACTAAAAATGTCTTCAAAGCTAATGTTGAATATCATTAGTGCCTGCAGACATTTATTTGTATACTTACTGGCCACCTCCTTAAGAGTTGTTCCAAGGAAGCATTAACCATCACTAATACATTCTTGCTTATCAACACCCTGCATAGAGTTGCCCCTGTGAGAAGCAGTTTAATTGTATGTGTTAATGGCAAAATCGATATGGTGCTCATATTAGAGTGGACCGTTGGCTATCTTTGTTTTTGGTACCTTAATACCTGTGGCATGTCTCTCTTGGTGGGGGATTATGGAAGGTTCTCCTTGTACCCTAGTGCCAGTCTTCTGAAGAATGTCTGTCTAGTTCTTTGAAGTCCCCTTAGACCATCCTTTCCCTCAAAGTGAATTCTAGGTATGCTACTTTGCCTGTCTTTTTTTTTTTTTTAATTAGAGTCTCACTCCATTGCCCAGACAAGAGTGCAGTGGCACGCGCACGACCACCCCAGTATCTACCTGCTGGGTTCCGGCAATGCTTCCACCTCAGCCTTCTGAGTAGCCAGAACTACAGGTGCACGCTACCACACCTGGCTAATTTTTTGATTTATCATAGAGATGAGGTCTTGCCAAGTCGCCCAGGCGGGTCTCGAACCCATGGGCTAAGGCAATCCTCTCACCTCGGCCTCCCAAAGTGCTGGGATTACAGGCTTGAGCCACCGCGCCCAGCCCTTTGCCTGTGTTTTAAAACAGAACGTTGCAAACATAACTGACAACTTTCTTCAAAATATCTAGCCACTATATGTATTTGAAAAAAGAGATTAAAGTTTAGAGAAATAACAGAGGTATGTGTTATTATTGAAATTCTGTTGGTTGTAATAGAATTAGGTGTTACTGAAATAATAAGCTTTCTTACCATGCCAATTTGTTTTTGTTTGGACAGCTTATGAGTGGGGTGTTGATTTGGCTTTTGCAGTGGTGGTCTCTTATCTTTGAGCTCCTTGTTCCGTATCTACATCAGTTCCTTGGCTGGCCCCTTAGAAATGATTTTGATGGATAGCAATACAACTCTTACGTAATGGTGATTCCTCTGAAATGAGTTTTAAGCATATTGAGTTCTTATTGATTTCTATTTTATATAATAGCATTTCTATTTTATACATTAGCACTTTCTGTTATACTACGACTTTGCATATTTCTTGTCTTTTGGCAAAAGCAAGAAATGGAATCCACACAGCAACTTACAGAATTGAACTGTGGTAAAAGTGCTCCGCTAAAGAGAATTTGGTGCTGGTACTTTTTAAGTGTAAAAAGTCATGGGTTTTTATACTGACTTGTAAAAAAGACATTGAGAACTTTTTTCCTGTATTTTTATATACAAATTCTCAATCTTACCAAGTTCAGAAGTCTGAACATAACACAACAGTTAAGGTTAATAAAAGTCTTATTTTACAGGTTATCAACGTGAGAAACAGATTTTTGGTGATTATTCTGAAGCAGGAAGTCAGTGGGCATAAGAATTTAGTATATCCATGGGCTAGTTCATGAGTCACATGGCTTTTTCTCTTCAAAGTCCAGATGAAAACTTGACTGCTTTTATAGTAAGCTGTGAAAATTACTGGCAGATGTAGGAACACAAGCTCATTTGTATTTATGAAGCCTTAATTCAAGTTTCAAGTAGTTGTAAGACATTTATACAAAATAGAATTTCCTCTTGTTCCTCAGTTTTCCTATTTCTTAAGAGCAGTTAACTATTGTGATAGTGGTAAATATATATATATATAATTGTTATATGTATTATTGTTGGCATATAGCCAACCACATTTTCCTTAATCTCTTACTAACACTTAAAAATGACTAAACATTTACTCAGCTCAAGAAGAAGGGGTTTTTCCTCCAAGTGCTAATTCAGTTGGTTTAGGACTTGAAGCAATTAACATCTATGGGAAAACTTCCTGTATACATAATGCATTTTTTCCCTTTGTACCAATAGTTTCTTTTTCTTCTCCTTCTTCTTCTCCTTCTTCTCCTTCTCCTCCCTCTCCCTCTCCCTCCACCTCCTCCCTCCTCACTCCTCCCTCCTCCTCCTCTTCTTATTCCTCTTCGTCTATCGTAATTTGAAATTTGGGGTTTTGTTTCTCTTCTTTTGGTTTCTCTACTTGTCCCAGTGATTTAATCGTGACTCAAGACTTTCTTTGAAAGTAAAATGGAATAAAAATGAAGCATATGAACTTTGTTGCCTATCCTTGTTTTGTTTCTGTTTTAAACTTACCTTTGGATGGAGGTGTTTTAAAGAAGTAATCCTGTTGGAGAGAAGGGAGTTGAAGGACATTCTTCTAGCTCCCCCAATTAGAGTTAAGGGGTTATGACAGAAAGCAGTCAAAGGAGGAAATAATTAGCATTCTTCAATGTAGGAGATTCCGTTTAGTGGTTATTAAAGAGGAAAGAAACCGAGTGGGAATAGTCAGTTGTGACCCTTTCATGTTTTATATTCAGTGCTGGTACATAGTATTCCTTCCACATTCTACTGCACACTGCCTAAAGAACTGCAGATCTTCAACTAATCATTCATTTCCAAAAGGTCTAATGACAGCACAAAAAAAGGTGGCTCACTTAAAATCTTCCATTAATAGTCACACTGCATCAAAGGTGCTAATTTTAAGTAGGCCACCCCATACAGTGCACCCTCTGAAGCAACACCCTTTCGCCGTTTATACTAAATCCATTCCTTTCATTCACGGAAAATATTTAATATTTCAGAATCGTGTCTGTGCAATGACGTGAAAATTCTGTTCACCTGGAACTCAACGATTTGAGGCTCAGGGAATGCCCAATTTCTGCTCTTTGCTCACCCAGTCAAGGATAGTACCCCAGCAGAGCAACTACAAAGGCCTACCTCGGACACTTCCCGAATCTTAATGGGTGGGGGTATAGACCTCCCTAATCTAGGATCTTCTCTGTGGCAGTGGGGTGACTCTTTTGGAGGCCCCTCATTTGTCCCACGCGACTTCTACAGGCGCCGCTGGCCTGGATATCTCATTTTGGGGCCAAGCGTTCAGACTGCGTGCTCAGGCCTTAAAGGGGAGGTGTCGGGCGCCGAAGGCCACAGACACCACACTCCACCACTGCAGAGGGCCGGCTGGGGCAGGGGGCGCGGCCGGAGCCTCCCCCTGCTGGGCTCCCGCCATGCTTCTGCCTGACCCTTGCAACTACTTGGAACTACAGGCGCGCGCTACCACGCCCGGTTAGTTTTTTTGATTTATTGGACAGATGAGGTCTCGCCAAGTTGCCCAGGCGGGTCGTGAACCCGCAGGCTCAGGCAATCCACTCACCTCGGCCTCCCAAAGCGCGGGATTACAGGCTGAGCCACCGAGTCTGACTGAACCTGTTCCTTTCAATGAGTGCCAGGTCTTTCTGAATAAGGAGGAGGAGGAAGAGGAGGAGGAAGAGATAAGTGCCCTCTCTGTACCCCCTGCCCACGTTTCATTGACAAACACCTCAAAATCCCTGCCCTCTTGATAACAAGCCCATTCGTCCCTTTCAGGCTGCCAGGGACGCTCGGAAATACAATTAGCACCACCCGTCCCCCAGCAGAGTCACTTTAGGGTTTCCAACTCATGCTCCTGCAGGACCGCAGCCAGGTCCCCAGTG